CCCCGAAATCCTACCCACTTTCGAGAAAAAAATTCCTTACCGAAAATGTAATCTGAGGCCTGAAAATGGTTCCCCGAAATTTCATGCATATCTTTAAAATATCGTAACTTCTGTAAGGATTGGAGAATTTTAAAGTTTCAGAATACAAACAACGCGTGTTTTGGTCAAGGATATGTAAAAATTCCAAGAATGTTCGAAAAGTTGTTCCCTAACCCCATAAAAGTGGTGCAATTTTCAAATGGCCTAAACTCCTACAATAATAAACATATTTCAATGAAACTTTTTTCTGGCGTAGAGCTCATGGGTACCTACAAAAAAGTGTTAGACAACTTTTCTATACGGCATCAATCAAAATTATTAAAAATGAAAAACGAATTTTTAAGCAAAATCGACGGGGACTAAATTTTCGACGAAAGAACAAAATTTCAAATCGTTTTAGAAAAATTATTTTCGGTTTGCAGGGGTCGATTACCATCATTTTTAATGAATAGACACAGCTCCAAAATTTTTCATTTTCGGTGAATATACATACTCCAGAAATTCTAACCATTTTTGAGAAAAAAATTCATTACTGAAAATACAATATCTGACCATAACTGAATTGTTACCCTGAAAATTGAAGAATTTCAAATCATTCTGGAAAAATTATTTTCAGTTGCAGGGGTCGATTGCAATTACTTTTGGTCAATAGACACACCCCTGAAATCCTACGCACTTTCGTGAAAAAAATTCGAGTATGTGTTGAAATTTTTCGGCGAAAAAAAAAATTTCAAATCGTTCCGGAAGAATTATTTTCAATTGCAGTGGTCAATTACTATCGTTTTTGGTCAATAGACATACGCCCGAAATCCTGCGCATTGTCGAGAAAAAAATTCAGTACTGGCGGAATTTTAAACGTTCATAACGTTTTAACGGAGCCTCCATCAACAAATTCGTATTCTTGATTTTTGTCCTATTTTGGCCTCTAGAATCTCCCGTTAAAATTTTTCTCAGGAGTGGCCGAACACCCTATATATTTGCACCTGACTACTAATACGCAATTTCGAAATATAATAAGCAAATATCAATAAGCAATTTATTTACAATAAAGATTTATAATAATACATTTCCTAGACTTAAATTTCTCAAGAAATTTCGGAGAGAAAAACATTAGTACGCCAAAGGGTTGTATTCTTTTTGTGCTTCATATTACACATACAAGTTCTTTCTCAAGAACATTATGCATTTTCGTTGTCGCGAATACAATTTGTCCTTTTCTCGATTCAAAATGTCTCCCATAGTATTTTTAAAAACTTCATCGGTACATGCACTTGTTTCACTATTTTTGTTGTTATCAAATTCGAACTGACGTATAATAATGTTTTGCGTTGATCCAACAAGGTAACATTTTCTAAATAATTTGCTGTTCTTCGTAACCACCATTTTGGTTACGGTAATAAGCACCATATTTTTCCTGTAATTTTGTTGTCTTTTCAACTTTCGTTTCAATCAATTAATTGAATTTTGTTTTAATAATTATAGATTCTCACGTTCGGAATACAAATATATTGAAATATTATATCGAGACTTTATTCGATTAGTGACTTTGATCATTTTGACAAGAGAAATTCCTGCGCACTATCGAGAAAAAAATTCAGTAAGAGCGCAACTTTAAACGTTCATAACTTTTTAACGCCATTTTTGAAATTTGAAACTCGCGAAACTCGGGTAAATAATAATTTGTATAAATAACCGTCGTGAATATTGTGACAATATGAATTTATTTTTATTTAAGTAAGAATAATTCAATCGAATTTGTGGTTAGATTTCAGACTTCTGTAATAAAAAATTTGATCTATTTACCCGTTTCATTATACTTTTAACAATGCTTTTGCATAACTTTTATTTGAAGTAGTTTCTTTTAATACTGTCATGTTAGTAGCTTTCTCTTAACATGGTACACGATCATAACTTTTAAATCGAGTAGAGGTCAAAATAACACGAAAATCAAGAATATCAATTTCCTGACCGAGTCTTCATTAAAAAGTTATTAAAGAATTCAATTAAAAAATTTCAAATCATACCAAAAAAATTATATTTAGTTATAGGTGTCAATTACAAGCATTTTTGGTCAATAGACATACCCACGAAATCCTAATCATTTTCGAGAAAAAAATTCGGGAAGATGTAAAACTTTTCGACAAAATTAAAAAATTTGAAATTCTTCTGGAAAAATTATTCTCGGTTACGGGGGTTAATTGCAATAATTTTCGGTGAATAGACACACCCCCGAAATTTTACGCATTTTCGAGAAAAAAATTCGGAAAGATGTAAAACTTTTCGACAAAATTAAAAAATTACAAATCGTCCTGGAAAAATTATTTTCGGTTGCAGGGGTCAAGTATAATTATTTTTGGTGAATAGACATACCTTCAAAATTCTTACCACTTTCGAGAAAAAAATTCGAGAAGGTGCGAAATTTTTCGACAAAATTAGAAAATTTCAAATCGTTCCAAAAAAAATTCTTTTTGGTTGTTGGGGTCACTTATAATCATTTTTGGTGAATAGACACACCCCCGAAATCATGGCCACTTTCGAGAAAAAAAATTCCATACCGAAAATACGATTTCTAGCCAGAAATGCTTCCTTGAAATATCATAAATTCTGAACGGATTGGAAGATTTTAATGTTTTAAAGGGCAAACAACGCGTATTTAGGTGAAGAATATATAGAAATCGCAAAAGTATTGGAAAAGTGGACCCTTGACTCTGCAAAATGAGAAAAACCCCATAAAAATGATACAATCTTCAAACGGCCATAACTCCTACAGTAGTGAATATATTTGAATGAAACTTTTTTCTGAAGTAGAGCTCGTGGGTACCTACAATAAAGTATTAGGCAACTTTCTTGTAGGACGTCAAACAGAATTACTAGAAATCAAAAACGAATATTTAAGAAAAATTAATAGGGAGTAAAGTAGGTGTTTAAATTTTGCGGCGAAAAGAAAATTTCAAATCGTTCCGGAAAAATTATTTTTATATACAGGCGTCAATTACAATCATTTTGTATGCATAGACATACCTCCAAAATCCTACCCACTTTCGAGAAAAAACTTCTTTACCGAAAATATAATCTGAAATGGTTCCCGAAATTTTATGCGAATTTTTGAAACATCATAACTCCTGAACGAATTGGGCGATTTTACTGTTTCAAAGTGCAAACAACGCGTATTTTGGGGAGGAATACGTGGAAATTTCAAAAATATTCGAAAAATTGTGCCTTCACCGCGTAAAATGAGAAACACCCCATAAAAATCGTCCAATATTCAAACAGCCATAACTCCTACAATGGTAAAGGTATCTCATTTAAATTTTTTTCTTAATCAGAGCCCATGGATATCTACAATAAAGTATTAGACAACTTTTCTGTAGAGCGACAAACAAATTTATTAAAAATGAAAAACAAATTTTTAACATAAATCGACAAGGGGGCTACGTGCTTAAATTTTTCGCGAGCAAAAAAAATTTCAAATCGTTTTGAAAAAATAAGGTTTAGTTGCGGGTGTCAATTGCAATCATTTTTGGCCAATACACGTAACCCCAAAATCCTACGCACTTTCGAGAAAAAAATTTGGGAAGATGTAAAACTTTTCGACAAAATTAAAAAATTTCAAATCCTTCTGGAAAAATTATTTTCGGTTGCGGGACACAATTACAATAATTTTTGGTGAATACACATACCCTTGAAATCCTACCCACTTTCGAGAAAAAAATTCGGGAATATGTAAAACTTTTCGACAAAATTAAAAAATTTCAAATCCTTCTGGAAAAATTATTTTCAGTTGTGGGGGTCAATTACAATAATTTTCGGTGAATAGACACACCCCCGAAATTTTACGCATTTTCGAGAAAAAAATTCGGAAAGATGTAAAACTTTTCGACAAAATTGAAAAATTTCAAATCCTTCTGGAAAAATTATTTTTGGTTGCGGGGGTCAATTACAATCATTTTTGGTCATTAGACATACCTTCGAAATCCTACCCACTTTCGAGAAAAAAATTCGGGAAAATGTAAAACTTTTCGACAAAATTAAAAAATTTCAAATCGTCCTGGAAAAATTATTTTCAGTTGTGGGGGTCAATTACAATAATTTTCGGTGAATAGACCTACCCCCGAAATCCTACCCACTTTTTAGAAAAAAATTCTTAATTTTCGTGTTACTTTAACCTCTAAAATCTCCTGTTAAAATTTTTCCCACGATCGATCGAACACCCTGTATATTTTTTGACGAATTACGCGGGAAAGGAGACAACCATGAGTGGAGCTACGGAATCGAACGATGACAAGCGTTCGACCGAGAAAGGAAAGAAGCATTAACGTAGGAACGTATCGCGCGAGATAAGAGTCAAGGGTTAACTCCTTCTAAGGGGGGGGATCAATGACATAAGAAAAAACGTCTCGTAGGATCCCGGTTTGCTTGCGTTATGTATCTCAATGCTTCGCGTCACGTCCGTTTTTTCGTGAGAAACGTTTCCGTGTGCTCGTCGCTGTCTCTCGTGCTTCCCAATTACTCATCGACGAATGCGAAAAGCTCCTTCCCACACATCGCTGGTTCGTCATCGCGTATCGCGTACTCCGTTAACGTTTTATCGCGCGCAGAGATTTCGACGAGAATCGATCGAGCTCACGAAAACGAGAGAAGAAAACAATAGACAGCTGAGGAAACAACTGGACGCTACGAACCAACGGTCGGGAGCAAATGGTCACCCGAGCAGCTTTTCTATTTTCGACGACGAATACGACGCATTCGCGGCACGGGTGTCCCGCCTTTGTCACCGGTTACTTTCGGCGACCCTCGCGATCACCGAAACGGACAAGACACGTCGAGAGAAAGAAGAGAGTACAAGGAAGAAACCAGTCCAGTCCGTTCCACGCCCATATCGTGGATAGAACGATCGCCTTTTTTCCTCCTATCTCCTTCTCCTTCCTCCGTCTTCGCTCTCCACGCGTGCTTAAACTCACCTTGATGATCAGCTCGATCTCGGGCACATCCCCGTTGCTGGTGCCATTCTCGTGGCTGTCGTCCGCCATCCTTCAGTACGTTGTTCCGTAGTTAACGGAGAAAAGGCACTCTTTTTGTCGTACACCGTAGCCTCACGATCGGAACGTAACACGGTTTTTCTCCTTCAACAATAAACTCCAACAGAACACGATGGAGGCTCGCGAAATACTGACGCAGCGCGTGTCGCGCCACGTTTACGACAATGGCGCCGACCTGTGGGTGAACTAGCAATTTATCTTCACCGATCCCGGTCGGTATAGTAGGAAACTTTCTTTAGACCCGGGAATATTTAAACCTGTGATCTCGACTCAACGAAAACGTGATTAACATGGTGGACACTGCTGACCAAAGCTTGAAACCAGCATCGTGTCCTTAAAACACTGAAAATAAATGAAACTTAATTTGAAATTTTTTAAATAATGACACTGGGAATATTGCGAGATAACTAGTACGCCATTGAACTATTGAATACAAGAAAACCTCGGTCATCGAAACATCCATTATTTGATCTCTCAATTATACAGATGTTCTATTATCGGAACTATACATATATGTTGTATATTGTGATTGACCTCCATAACCAAAAATAATTTTTCCAGAACGATTTGAAATTTTGTAATTTTGTCGAAATATTTCACACATTCTCGAATTTTTTTCTCGAAAGTGGGAAGGACTTCGAAGGTGTGTCCAATAACCAAAAATGATTGTAATTGACCCCCGCGACCAAAAATAATTTTTCCAGAACGATTTGAAATTTTCTTATCGCCGCAAAATTTAAACACCTACTTACTCCCTATTAATTTTTCTTAAATATTCGTTTTTGATTTTTAGTAATTCTGTTTGACGTCCTACAAGAAAGTTGGCTAATACTTTATTGTAGGTACCCACGAGCTCTACTTCAGAAAAAAGTTTCATTCAAATATATTCACTACTGTAGGAGTTATGGTCGTTTGAAGATTGTATCATTTTTATGGGGTTTTTCTCATTTTGCAGAGTCAAGGGTCCACTTTTCCAATATTTTTGCGATTTCTATATATTCTTCGCATAAATACGCGTTGTTCGCCCTTTAAAACATTAAAATCTTCCAATCCGTTCAGAATTTATAATATTTTAAGGAAGCATTTCTGGCTAGAAAACGTATTTTCGGTATGGAATTTTTTTTCTCGAAAGTGGCCATGATTTCGGGGGTGTGTCTATTCACCAAAAATGATTATAAGTGACCCCAACAACCAAAAATAATTTTTTTTGGAACGATTTGAAATTTTCTAATTTTGTCGAAAAATTTCGCACCTTCTCGAATTTTTTTCTCGAAAGTGGTAAGAATTTTGAAGGTATGTCTATTCACCAAAAATAATTATACTTGACCCCTGCAACCGAAAATAATTTTTCCAGAACGATTTGTAATTTTTTAATTTTGTCGAAAAGTTTTACATCTTCCCGAATTTTTTTCTCGAAAATGCGTAAAATTTCGGGGGTGTGTCTATTCACCGAAAATTATTGCAATTAACCCCCGTAACCGAAAATAATTTTTCCAGAAAGATTTGAAATTTTTTAATTTTGTCGAAAAGTTTTACATCTTCCCGAATTTTTTTCTCGAAAATGATTAGGATTTCGAGGGTATGTCTATTGACCAAAAATGCTTGTAATTGTCACCTATAACTAAATATAATTTTTTTGGTATGATTTGAAATTTTTTAATTGAATTCTTTAATAACTTTTTAATGAAGACTCGGTCAGGAAATTGATATTCTTGATTTTCGTGTTATTTTCACCTCTACTCGATTTAGAAGTTATGATCGTGTACCATGTTAAGAGAAAGCTACTAACATGACAGTATTAAAAGAAACTACTTCAAATAAAAGTTATGCAAAAGCATTGTTAAACGTATAATGAAACGGGTAAATAGATCAAATTTTTTATTACAGAAGTCTGAAATCTAACCACAAATTCGATTGAATTATTCTTACTTAAATAAAAATAAATTCATATTGTCACAATATTCACGACGGTTATTTATACAAATTATTATTTACCCGAGTTTCGAGAGTTTCAAATTTCAAAAATGGCGTTAAAAAGTTATGAACGTTTAAAGTTGCGCACGTCCTGAATTTTTTTCTCGATAGTGCGCAGGAATTTCTCTTGTCAAAATTATCAAAGTCACTAATCGAATAAAGTCTCGATATAATATTTCAATATATTTGTATTCCGAACGTGAAAATCTATAATTATTAAAACAAAATTCAATTAATTGATTGAAACAAAAGTTGAAAAGACAACAAAATTACAGGAAAAATATGGTGCTTATTACCGTAACCATAATGGTGGCTACGAAGAACAGCAAATTATTTAGAAAATGTTACCTTGTTGGATCAACGCAAAACATTATTATACGTCAGTTCGAATTTGATAACAACAAAAATAGTGAAACAAATGCATGTACCGATGAAGTTTTTAAAAATACTATAGGAGACATTTTGAATCGAGAAAAGGACAAATTGTATTCGCGACAACGAAAATGCATAGAGTTCTTGAGAAAGAACTTATATGTGTAATATGAAGCACAAAAAGAATACAACCCTTTGGCGTACTAATGTTTTTCTCCCCGAAATTTCTTGAGAAATTTAAGTCTAGGAAAAGTATTATTATAAATCTTTGTTATAAATAAATTGCTTATTGATAGTTGCTTATTATATTTCGAAATTGCGTGTTAGTAGTCAGGTGCAAATATATAGGGTGTTCGGACAGCCCTGGGAAAAATTTTAACGGGAGATTCTAGAGGCAAAAACAGGACGAAAATCAAGAATACGAATTTGTTGATGGAGGCTTCGTTAAAAAGTTACGAACGTTTAAAGTTCCGCCCTTACTGAATTTTTTTCTCGACAATGCGCAGGATTTCGGGCGTATGTCTATTGACCAAAAACGACTGTAATTGACCACTGCAATTGAAAATAATTCTTCCGGAACGATTTGAAATTTTTTTTTTCGCCGAAAAATTTCAACACCTACTCGAATTTTTTTCTCGAAAGTGCGTAGGATTTCAGGGGTGTGTCTATTGACCAAAAATAATTGTAATCGACCCTTGCAACCGAAAATAATTTTTCCAGAATGATTTGAAATTTTTCAATTTTCAGGGTAACAATTCAGTTATGGTCAGATATTGTATTTTCAGTAATGAATTTTTTTCTCGAAAATCGTTAGAATTTCTGGGTTATGTATATTCAACAAAAATGAAAAATTTTGGGGCTGTGTCTATTCATTAAAAATGATGGTAATCGACACCTGCAAACCGAAAATAATTTTTCTAAAACGATTTGAAATTTTGTTCTTTCGTCGAAAATTTAGTCCCCGTCGATTTTGCTTAAAAATTCGTTTTTCATTTTTAATAATTTTGATTGACGCCCTACAGAAAAGTTGTTTAACACTTTTTTGTATGTACCCATGAGCTCTACTTCAGAAAAAAGTTTCATTGAAATATGTTTATTATTGTAGGAGTTATGGCCATTTGAAAATTGCACCACTTTTATGGGGTTAGGGAACAACTTTTCGAACATTCTTGGAATTTTTACATATTCTTGACCAAAACACGCGTTGTTTGTATTTTGAAACTTGAAAATTCTCCAATCCTTGCAGAAGTTACGATATTTTAAAGATATGCATGAAATTTCGGGGAACCATTTTCAGGCCTCAGATTACATTTTCGGTAAGGAATTTTTTTCTCGAAAGTGGGTAGGATTTCGGGGGTATGTCTATTCACTAAAAATGATTATAATTGACCCCAGCAACCGATAATAATTTTTCTAGAACGATTGGAATTTTTTAATTTAATTTTTTAATAACTTTTTAACGAAACCTCTGTCAAGAAATTGATATTCTTGATTTTCGTCTTATTTTGGCCTTTAGAATCTCCCATTTAAATTTTTCCCAAGAGTGGCCGAACACCCTGTATAAGCAATAATAAACACATCCACGAACAAACTTGTTAATGTCTATGTACGTAAGTTACAATTTATAACAAATGTTAGCAACGAAATATGATATTCTATAAAAATATACAGAAAAAGAAGAAGAAATTACACAATTAAAACTTCTTTTGAATTGTAATACCAGATAGAATACTATGGTGGCTATGATTCATTTATGAGCAAGGAATTCAATTGAAAAAAATATCAACTGAAATAAATTTAGATTACATGAAGAATGATCCAAGCAATGAATATATTAAAATTTGTCAAATCCTATTAATAACATTGGAGCCAATAAGAATTTAGCATCGATCCCGGAGATAAATTCCAAACTTTAACAAAAGAATTCCATATTTTTGAGCTCACTGGAAAAAGAACACCTTATCTACAATAATTTATTTCTAGCTACAGATTTTATCATAAAAAAGAAAACGATTATTAGACGTATTATACTTTTTAAAATACTATTTTAAAACAAATAAATAATGTTTTATTTTGTAAAATTTTGGTATTAAATAAGTAAATTCATTAATTTTATTTTCATGGTTTTGATAAATGTTATCAATATTACGTCAAAAATATAAATTTTGGAATATTCTACTAATGAAAAAATTATCGAGAAATATAATCAGATTTTCCATTCCAATTTCCATTCTCGATTCGGCCATTTCTGGCAATTTCTAACATATCAAACTAATTTGAATGATATATAGAAATGGTCAATTTTTAAAATAAATATTTTATTATTTTATCAAGCAGCAAATGATCAATTTCGTATCATAAATATATTTTTAATATAAAGCATGTTTAACACAACACGATAACGAATACGATAATATCGAAATCAAAAACTAAATTATAAAATGCAATTTAATTACACAACTGTTTGAAACTTCGATCGTTTTCCCCGAAATGTAATGTTCTACATTGCAAGAATGTTTCCAGGATAAAAATGCATATAACATTTACTAAATGAAGTAAAATTTCTTTAAAGACACTTGTAAATAGTAATTTACGTCTCGAGCCCTTCTTTAGATATTCTGTAAGGGTCACCTGTATGTGGTATATGGTGTGAAATAAAACGTATTTCTTGGTTACAATATTCACGCATTATATTCTTAACGGTAATGCTTAAACAATAGAGCAACAATAATAAAACAGCATTTCATATGTACACAATTAATAATCTTCCTCTTATTACATCAAACATAAGCTTGCACGATCCTAAAGATTGTATTAACCCTTGCGCGCATAAATGCTTGTAAAAACCTGCGGCTAAAATTTTACGTAACATCGACGTAAGTTTACATTTTTCTTGTATTACCGTAGAAAGTGGAACAGCGATCAGAGAAAAGTAGACGACCGAATGTAATTTAAAAATATAAATTTACGTTCAAAATTAATTAAGTGTATTCAATTCATCCATTAGTAGTAACAGTATCTATCCCTACTTTAGTCGATGCTCCAAATTCCTTTTTCTTCTATTAATTCGTGACGCAGAAAAATGCACAGACGTAACGACCTTAAAGCTAGATTACATTCCGCATAAAAATATATTATTAATTTCTCTTAATTGAACCTCACGGTAATAGAGACAAATTATTGTCAATATCGCCTTCAGACACTTTTCGTTAAAAAAATATGCGATAGCCGCTTTATTACGATTAAAATGATTGCTTGGAATAATAATAATTTCCATATTCTTAGGAAAGTTATGTATATATACGCCGGTATGATGAATCTTGCGTAGTTCACTGCAATTGATAATAGTTTCGGTGTGCCTGCTTGTTCTCAACACCTATACCATAAGATTTCTAAGCGCTGATAAATAGGACAGCAACTATAGGTTCCTTCTTTCATAAATCTAGTAGTTAAAATGAAGAATACGAAGACTTCCACGAACGAGATTGTAGTTACTCCTGATCATCGAGAACAAATTCTTCCTTCTGTTCATATCCCCGTTTAAATAACTGAATTTTCCTTTTTAAAAAAAACAACAACAACAAACAAACAGTATTGATAAAAGAACTATACAAGTATCAATACCATTCGTTTTCCCGTGCTTTTCGTTAATGAATAATCTCTGCACCATTCGGCATTCGAGGCTTAAGCTACTATTGATATTTAGTAGGCGTGTGACAAATATCAGACATCACGATAAATATAAGATTAGCATAATAATAATAATAATAATTGACTAATTTTGGCTTTGTATAAATGTAGTTCCTAATTTGCCTATTCGTTTCCTGGACTCTTATGTTCTCTAGAGAACATAACTATAATGGACAATTAGTTGTTTCCTTTCCTATCCGTTTCAAAGAAAATGTTTCAATTCCGCAGGGGATCCAAGCTCTCCAATGAAAAGTCATCCGTGTCGATTGAAAGACCTCTGCTGAAACCGTCCTGAAACATCAACGTTCCAACAATTAAAAATTTCAAATATGTTCTGGGCTTGCGTCAACACGCAAACTGTACCTTCATTTCAAGCAGCTTTTTATCTAAGAGACCAATAGCGTTTTCAAGCTCCTGCTGGCTGGGATTAGAGATTGTCGTTGTGGCCCCAAATTCACCCATCTCGAACGGATCGTTAAACTCGTTTTTGTTGTTCACTGATGGCGTGGGATTGAAAGGAATGCTGCCGAATAAATCCTCCTTCACACCATTCTGACGTCTGGAGTCCTTCGCCTTTGGCGGTGGAGCCACTAAAAAAATATTACAGAATGCAACGAAATGATTATACCATTTCCTTCATTTTAAAAGATTATTTTACTACGCTTTATATGCTCAGAGCGACAAAATGATAGCACACTTTGCTGTAACGTAGAATATACTTCGCTGATGTTATTTCTAATTCGTGTGTCCTCCTTTATTGTGGAGGCTTCGTTAAAAAGTTATCCCCCATTAAAATTTTTCGCAGAGTTGGTCGAACACCTTTTATATTTTCAGGTTATTGTATTCCAATTTTGTATTATACGTTCCCTTAATTCCGTAACAGTTTGAAATTGTTTCCACTTAGCGTACGCAGCTCTAGCCAATTGTGCGCAACAGTTTTCAAGTATATTAATCTCAGGAGAACGGGCTGGCCAAACTAAAGTTTGTATATTACTACTTTTTACGTAATCCTGCTGAAAAATGAACTGTTCACCCAATAAGTGCAATCGCCTACTTATTTATTTGTTCATCGATAAGTTGCACATACTCATATTTAGCGTTCTATTTATAAACACAATTTCTGCTTCGTCGTAATGCCCAATTGCTGACCACAGCACGACTCCTCCTCCACCCATTTGGTTACGACTTAAAATCTGTTCTTCCTTCCTGAGATCGTAGAAATAATACCTTGCCCCATCTGGTCCATCCATATTAAAACGTTTCTCGTTGGTAAAAATAACTGTTCGCCATTTCTTTCTCCAGTGGATATGATTCTCCGCAAATTGTAATCGAGCTTCTCTACGTTGTCTAATTAATGGTGGTTTTTAAACTAATTTCTTTCGTTTTAAATGTTTGGTTCGTTGAATACGTTGCACATTTCTTATATTAGCACTTACACCAGCTACGGCAGCAATCTGCCTTGCTCTAGAGATAGAATTAGAAGCTGCTCTCAGAATTGCACATTCTTCGCGAGTTGTTATTGCTCTCTGTCTACCTGTACTCTTCTTTTTTCCATATTTTCTTCGATTCTTCAGCAGATTATAAACATAAAATCTGTTCTTCCTTCCTGAGATCGTGGAAATAATACCTTGCCCCATCTGGTCCATCCAAATTAAAACGTTTCTCGTTGGTAAAAATAACTGTTCGCCATTTCTTTCTGCAGTGCATATGATTCTCCGCAAATTGTAATCGAGCTTCTCTACGTTGTCTAATTAAGGGTGGTTTTTAAACTAATTTCTTTCGTTTTAAATGTTTGGTTCGTTGAATACGTTGCACATTTCTTATATTAGCACTTACACCAGCTACGGCAGCAATCTGCCTTGCTCTAGAGATAGAATTAGAAGCTGCTCTCAGAATTGCACATTCTTCGCGAGTTGTTATTGCTCTCTGTCTACCTGTACTCTTCTTTTTTCCATATTTTCTTCGATTCTTCAGCAGATTATAAACATAAAATCTGTTCTTCCTTCCTGAGATCATAGAAATAATACCTTGCCCCATCTGATCCATCCAAATTAAAACGTTTCTCGTTGGTAAAAATAACTGTTCGCCATTTCTTTCTCCAGTGGATATGATTCTCCGCAAATTGTAATCGAGCTTCTCTACGTTGTCTAATTAATGGTGGTTTTTAAACTAATTTCTTCCGTTTTAAATGTTTGGTTCGTTGAATACGTTGCACATTTCTTATATTAGCACTTACACCAGCTTCGGCAGCAATCTGCCTTGCTCTAGAGATAGAATTAGAAGCTGCTCTCAGAATTGCACATTCTTCGCGAGTTGTTATTGCTCGCTGTCTACCTGTACTCTTCTTTTTTCCATATTTTGTTCGATTCTTCAGCAGATTATAAACATAAAATCTGTTCTTCCTTCCTGAGATCGTGGAAATAATACCTTGCCCCATCTGGTCCATCCAAATTAAAACGTTTCTCGTTGGTAAAAATAACTGTTCGCCATTTCATTCTGCAGTGGATATGATTCTCCGCAAATTGTAATCGAGCTTCTCTACGTTGTCTAATTAATGGTGGTTTTTAAACTAATTTCTTTCGTTTTAAATGTTTGGTTCGTTGAATACGTTGCACATTTCTTATATTAGCACTTACACCAGCTACGGCAGCAATCTGCCTTGCTCTAGAGATAGTATTAGAAGCTGCTCTCAGAATTGCACATTCTTCACGAGTTGTTATTGCTCTCTGTCTACCTGTATTCTTCTTTTTTCCATATTTTCTTCGATTCTTCAGCAGATTATAAACATAAAATCTGTTCTTCCTTCCTGAGATCGTGGAAATAATACCTTGCCCCATCTGGTCCATCCAAATTAAAACGTTTCTCGTTGGTAAAAATAACTGTTCGCCATTTCTTTCTGCAGTGCATATGATTCTCCGCAAATTGTAATCGAGCTTCTCTACGTTGTCTAATTAATGGTGGTTTTTAAACTAATTTCTTCCGTTTTAAATGTTTGGTTCGTTGAATACGTTGCACATTTCTTATATTAGCACTTACACCAGCTACGGCAGCAATCTGCCTTGCTCTAGAGGTAGAATTAAGAATTGCACATTCTTTGCGAGTTGTTATTGCTCGCTGTCTACCTGTACTCTTCTTTTCTCCATATTTTCTTCGATTCTTCAGCAGATTGACAAAATTTCTTGTCTTAACCCTTCGCACTCCTATGTCGAGTGTAACTCGACATCAGTTTTCATCTGAGGAGCTTCTTTGTCCCATTTGACCTTTTTTCAAATCCAAATCAAAGACATACACTTGAAAATTACAAAATACAGCAATACTGTAAATAAAACAGATATTCAATTGACTTTATTTGTTCCTCTGTTTGTTTAAATTGAAATATAATTTGGAGTGCAAAAGGTTAATGCTTTAATTGTTTTTATTTCTTCGTCACATAATTTTTTACCACGGTCAGTCACGCTTAATGTTTTAGATAAATACTGCAAATGTTTTAGACAAATTACACGATGTAATGTTACTTTCTACGACTTACAGAGTCAACTGAAATAGAAAAACTTTAAACTCGACTACATACAGTGACTGTCACTTAAAATCGTACACCTAACGGGTTCCAGCCGATATTTTTGTCAATAAAACATGAAAATTGTACAAAATTATTGAAACTCGTATGGAGACATATAGTGTAATGTTTCTTTATTTGATACATAACAACAATACAGTGAAAACTCGATAAATGTCCTCAAGAGCTGTTCCATAAATGATACATTTTTATCCCCACCACTAGGGGGATCCCCCTTGAACCAGTGAGGCGAAGTGTAACCGGAGACGTAGCGGCTTTCTTTAAATATCTTTATTGCACAGAAGAAAGTTTTTTATTTGTTTACTTTTTGTTAATAAAAATTTCGCTAAACGCGATATAAATCGGTCAATATTTTGTAGCATAATATCGAATTAAATATTGTACTCGCGAGTCTTTCTCTCTTTATTTATCCTTCTTGCGCTGTCCTTTTCTATGCACGGAAATATCAAAGAACGACCGCATCGAGGTGCTGGCTACATTTATCGAACGGGAGGTAGCTATTTTCATACGGAACGGTTTCCACCCTTTCGTAAGTGATCAAATACTATCGCTCACTTTCGCTCTGCTAAACTTTTCCTACGCTAAGTAATTTTCACAGTTTCGTTTTTCCGTCTTTCTGTTCCGAAGGGACGTTTTAAGAAAGGTTCTCAGTCTTGCCAGATACGTGTTTCCGTCCGAGTTCCCGTGCGCGAATAAAGTTTTACGAAAGTAGAAAATGTCGACTAAGAAAGTGACGTTGAATATTGAACAGCGCCTTCGAGCGCTGGAGGATTTGAAAACTTTTCCTGTACGGATCGTTGCTGCCAAGTATCAAATACATCCGCAAACAGTACGGAGGATAAAAAAGAACGAAATTCGCATACAACAATTTGCCGCGACGGGTAAAAGGCAGCAAAAACGACAACGAATAAAGGAAGCAATGTACCCTGAACTCGAAGAACAATTGTTCACGTGGTTCGGTGAAAGAACAGCTATTGGCGAACGAATAAGCGATACGCTTATACGGGAGAAAGCTGTAGAATTACAGCAGAATAGCGGAACGTCCTCCAACTTTAAAGTGAGCATGTCGTGGGTGACAAATTTTAAACGACGCCATAACATACGGTTAGCGAGTGCGTGTGGTGAAAAAGCCAGTGCTGATAGAAATGCGGCAGAAATTTTTAAACAACAGTTTCGGCAGTTTATAGAAGAGCAGGGCATCAGCATCGAAAATATTTATAACATGGACGAGAGCGGGCTGTTTTGGAAAGCGCTTCCAACAAAAAGTGTAGCTGGCTTAAAAATGAAGAAAGACCGAATTACCATCGGTTTGTGTGCCAATGTCACTGGAACTAATAAAATTAAGCCATTGGTGGTGCATAAATATAAAAAACCAAGAGCGTTGAAGCACTCGCTGCACAGACTTCCGGTCTGTTACAAGTCGCAAAAAAATGCTTGGGTAGACCGTACAATGTTCCAAGATTGGTTTGAAAATCATTTTAAGCCCAGCGTCCGCGAATTCCAACTGAGGAGAGACATCGCTGGGAAAGTGATACTATTGGTTGACAATCGCACAGCTCATCGACTCTCATCGTCCGAGCACGACGGAGACCTCTTTCTGTTAAAATATCTTCCACCGAACACCACGTCCCTCCTGCAACCAATGGATCAAGGAGTGATATCGAAAACGAAACGAATGTTTCGGAAAGAAATGTGCCGCTCGATTTTAACATACGAGGGCGGGGTTAATGAATTTTATGCCCGTTATAACATAAAAGACTGCGTAGATATTTTGGTGCACGCATGGGCGGAAGTTACGCCGGAAAATATACGGCATAGCTGGAACAGAATAATTCCATCTCCTTCCCACGTACGGAACTATTTTTCAAACGAGAGCGAAGAAGACGGTTTGGAAGATGTACTGTCTGTGATCGGCGATGGGCAAATTTCGCAAGAGGAAGCCATTATTTTTCTGAATAGGTGCCGTGCAGAAGAGGAAAAAGTTACAGAAAGTGACGCGGACAGTGACAACGATAGCGAGCAGCACAGTGACAATGAAAGTGAGAACGATGATAGTGAAAACGAACACAACGTACAATCGCCGAAAGAACAAATAAAATATAAGTTACTGCGTTTAAAATACCATCTATTGAGAGCTAACCGTTTAACAGCGGAAATAGAACATCTTTCGTCTTCATAGGAAAACTTAAATATATTAAGGTGAGAATGAAATTGCAATGTTTCTTATCCCTTATTTTTTAAGATATTTAAAGAAAGCCGCTACGTCTCCGGTTACGCTTCGCCTCACTGGTTCAAGGGGGATCCCCCTAGTGGTGGGGATAAAAATGTATCACTTACGGAACCAGCTCTTGGGGACATTTATCGAGTATTCGCTGTATTCAGTAAATGAAATAAAAGGGTATAGCCGAATAAGGGGGTGAAATGTGCCCTTGAATCAAATGTGACATACGATGGATCCATCGATAGAGCATCAAGAAAAAACGTTCTGTGCCAAATTTTAACCCTCTATCTTGTTTGGATGGGTAGTTATTGAGAAAATTCGGATTAACGAATTTCTGCCTATTTCCCCTATTTAATCGAGTAGAAAAATTATGAAAAAAATCTGGTGCATTGTGGTTATCGAGATACGTGTTTCAGAATTTTTTCCGATTTTTCGATTCCAAATCCTAGGTGTGAAAAATTGAAAACGCAAAAAAACGCAGAAAAATACGGATTTCGTATCGAAGCTTTCGAGACACTAGATTTCTATAATTACTGTAAATGTATATTGACATTGGTTATCTCTCTGAATTTTTTCAGATTTTTTGATAGGGTGCGCCGTAGTAGGAAAAATGAAAATCCGATTTTTTCGACGTTTTTCGCGTGAAAAGCATCTTATACTTTGAATTTTTGTATTCTCTTTAATAGATAACTATATTGTATGGCTTTAAACATTTCTATGTTGAGCATAACAGTGTATACAAGAAGAAAAGCAAAAAAAAAAGTTCTATGCGCGATATATTTATTTGAATTTTTCTTCGAAACTGTGTAGGATTTCGGGGGTATGTCTATTCACAAAAAATAATTGTAATTGACCCCCTTAGCTAGAAATAATTTTTTCAAAACGATTTGAAATTTTTTTTTCGTCGAAAAATTTAGACACCTACCGCCTGGTTGATTTTTCTTAAAAAATTGTTTTTCATTTTTAATAAATTTGTTTCACGCTCTACAGAAAAAATGTTTAATACTTTTTTATAGGCACCGACGAGCTATACTTTAGAAAAAATTTTCATTGAAATATGTTCACTATTGTAGGAGTTATGGCCGTTTGAGAATTGGACCATTTTTATGGGGTTTTTCTAACTTTACGGGATTAAGGAACAACTTTTTCACTATCGTTATAACGCCTACATATTCTTCACCAAAATACGCGTTATTTGCCGCTTCAAACATTAAAATCCTTCAATACGTTCAGAAGTTATGACATTTTAAAGATTCGCATGAAATTTCAAGGAAGCCTCACATTAGATTTTCGGTAAAGAATTATTTTCTCGAAAGCGCGTAGGATTTCGGGGATATGTCTATTCACTTAAAATGCTTGTAATCGATCCTTGTAACTAAATATAATTTTTTTAGTATGATTGGAAATTGTTTAATTTCGTCCAAAAATTTCAGTACCTACCGCAAGAAGATTTTTCAATAAAAAGAATATGAACGTATATTTTGGGTGAAAATATTTTTTAAATATTAATAAACAAATAAGTTTTTCACTGTCGTTTAGTTAGAAATTGAAAAAAAAAAAACAAAATTAATATAATAAAAAAAAATGTACTTTAGCAGGGCGTGAACGCGCGTCAAAAAGTTTGCAGCAGTCTCACAGTCAAGCGTCTTACTTACTGCACCATCGCAGCTCTTGGAAATACCGTTAATACTTCTTAATATATCGCGCATAGCAATTTCTATTTCGTGACTTATTTTTACTTTTCTTCTTGTATACAATGTTCTGCTCAACATAGAAATGATTAAAACCATACAATATAGTTATCTATTAAAGAGAATACAAAAATTCAAAGTATAAGATGCTTTTTCACGCGAAAAACCTCGAAAAAATCGGTTTTTCATTTTTCCTACTATGGCGCACCCTACCAAAAACTCTGAAAAAATTCAGGGAGATAACCAATGACAATACGCATTTACAGTAATTATAGAAATCTAGTGTCTCGAAAGCTTCGATACGAAATCCGTATTTTTCTGTGTTTTTTTGCGTTTTCAATTTTTCACACCTAGGATTTGGAATGGAAAAATCGGAAAAAATTCTCAAACACGTATCTCAATAACCACAATGCACCAGATTTTTTTCATAATTTTTCTACTCGATTAAAGTAGGGGAAATAGGCAGAAATTCGTTAATCCGAATTTTCTCAATAACTACCCTTCCAAACAAGATAGAGGGTTAAAATTTGGCACAGAACGTTTTTTCTTGATGCTCTATCGATGGATCCATCGTATGTCACATTTTACCCCCTTATTCGGCTATACCCTTTGAGGTTACGTATGAAACTTAGCTGCCAGTAAAAATCGTACTGTTGGTAACACTGGAAATCTGGTGAATCCCCAATTGTTTTGTAACAATGCTTAGCAACGATTTAATCCAGCTGATTTAGCAGCATTCTGATTGTTATATGCGTTGTTTATCAATAAAAGACTTACAATGCGACAAACTACAGTAGCGTAGCGTGAATTAGTTATTTATCACTATAAAAACAGAAAAAATTATAACGAAATTAGTGAAATTATTAATCGAAGTAGAAGCACGGTTCAATGTATAATAAAACGATAGAAAGAAGAAGACTATGTAGTGAATAAATTAAAAAAAGAGGTCTGATAAGAAGAATTAAGGATGATCCGAGGATTAATGCTCCAAAATTATAGTTAATCAAGTTTAAAAGTTAAATTAAGGAAAAATGGGAATTTTAAACGATTTAAAATTTTACAACGATCACAATTCTTATGTAGCGAAGAGTTGGCTATTGTGTAGCTACCCTAAAGTTTTTCATAAAACATATTTGAAACAATCTGAACAAAAAAGTAAGATTATAATACAAACAAGGAAAGCCTTAGAAAAGCTTTGCAAGAATGGTCGAAAATAACACCTGAATTTTGTGAGAATTTAGTGAAAGCAATTCCTCAACGATGGCGGTGCAATCAAAATGCATTTGGTTAACTAAATATTAATATATACAATTTTTATTATATATTATTCTAAAACTGTATCTTGTTTCCTCTGTACGATTTTTACTGGCAGCTAAGTTTCATACGTAACCTCAAATTTTATTTAATTTACTGAACACTACTAATTGTTGCTATGCATCAAATAAAGAAACATTACACTATATATGTATGTCTCTATACTCTTACAGTCTGCGATCTTAAGTCACTGTATACAATTTTTACTTAAGTCACAAGGTGTGCTATCTTCTTGTCGCATACTGTATATATGAGACGACAAATTTAATAACTAGCGAAACAACTAACACAATGGAGGAGGACTTGTGCCGTTGCTTTGTGAGAAGAAGTTCGAGTTCGAGGATATTTGACCATTCAGAAGAGAACTGTGATTCGTTTGATGATTCGCGATGCCATTCACTGCGCTCTCGAACGCCCTCGGATTAAAATCTTCCTCGAATTCGTCCATCAGAAGTCCCTCCAATTTGGTACCAACCGACGGCTTCGGGGCAGGCTCGCTTCTGTTCGTGTAACATGATTCTGTTATTGAATATCTTGGAAAATATCAGTTTATTGAGACACATTAGTGTCTACGTACGCCATAAAGTTATCATCGAATGTCTTCTCGAAACTTCTTGGAGGAACTGGCGGTGGTTGTTGTGATCCATTGGGTGTGTTTCCATTGCTGTCGTTGTTCGTGCCAACAGAAGGCTTGTTACTAGTCCCGTTTACTTGTGTAGTTTCATTCGATGCACCAGGCACGTGTAGGATATCCGGAAGATTGTGTTGGGACAAGTAAGCCGATACATCAGCCTAAAACAGGATCGTCCAAGAAAACTTGATTACTTACTCGTACTTAATTATATTTTGATAATAAAATGGATAAGATTTAAATAAATTAAATTAAGTCAAGAATAATTATAATTCTAGAAGTTAAAGAAAAATATTTATTAACACTAGATTGCCCAAGGAAGTAATTTTGACTGCTTTTTAATTTCAATTAGAAAAACAATTATGTATATAAGGACACAATTTCTTAGAATTTTGTGACTTTTTGTACAACATATAAATGCGTTTATTAATAATTGTAGTTACCTCTCCCCTCCTTCATTTCCGGTATATGTGTTATACCTATATTGCCCAAAAAAGAAGTCATTTTGACTGCTTGGGAAATTTTCAATAATCAAATCACTCTTATTATTGAATTGAGTAAATTTCTTATATGACCAGTTCGACTCTCTATTGAAATAACAGTTTTCATTTTTTCTCGATTACCAACACATGATAACATACGAGTAAATTAACCCTTTGCACTCCTATGTCGAGTGTGATTCGACATCAATTTTTATCTCAGGAGCACCTTCGTCAAGTCCCACTCGGCATTCTTTCAAGTCCAAACCAAAGAGATATCGTACACTTGAATCAATATTGTAAATATCAAATAAAACACTTAAAGGCGTTGGGGAGTTGCTGGTAACAAAATTGAAATATAATTCGGAGTGCAAAGGGTTAAGAGCAGTGCACATTGCTGGCACACGCCTTAGACATTGAGTAAATCCTATGAAATGATGAAGATACAGCGATGCAGGGAATAGTATTACGAATGGAAACAATTTGGTAACTGATTTTGCTCGCTTGGTGTCACGGATGCCTCAAGTATACTATTTAAGGGTTAAATACAGGGTGTTTACGCTAAAGTGTGACAGTAAAGTGTGTATATCTATATTAAAATAATTTTCTTCTTTTAATTTAAAAAGTTTCGTTATTTTCCCGACATACTGTGTAGACTGCTTCTACCGATTATAGTCTTTTGCACTGACCGATCCTTTGATAGCAGCCATGTCCTGTAGCCGCTGACGATACACGTTGTTTTCGTGTTCCAGTCGCTTTATTTTCTGTTGCAGAACCATACATCGCCTCTGCGCCTCTAAATCTTTCCCAGATGTCTCCAAGAACCGCCTGTACGCCAAATCGAAAGCTTGGCCGATGGTCAGCGTAATCTCCTCGGCCAGTTTATCGCTAACGAACACGAAGCACGTGTGCCTCTCTGCATCTTCCTCTTTCGCGATGAAGCTGAAGAACTTCTTCTCGCCTTTGTCGTCGGCGCAGTACGATATTCTGTGTAACGGGTACTGGTGCATAATCCGCTGAAAAAGAAAACGTTGACTTACAATCGGTCATATACAGGGTGTACCGTAAATAGTGTAAGAACCGGAAATGGGGGGTAGGTGAGACGATTCTAAACAACAATTTCCTTTGCAAAAATGTCGGATGGGGCTTCGTTTTTGAATTATTAACGAAAATACTTCCTTGTTATACAGGGTGTTCGGTCATTTCTGGGAAAAATTTCCATGGGAGATTCTAGAGGCCAAAATAAGACGAAAATCATGGATACTAATTTGTTCATTGGGGCTTCGTTAAAAAGTTGTAGAAACATTTTCGGCCACACGGTATATTTTCAGTAATGAATTTTTTTCTCGAAAATGCTTGAAATTTCGGGGGTGTGTGTATTCACAAAAAACGATTGTAATTGACCCCCTCAACTAAAAATAATTTTTTCGTGAATGATTTGAAATTTTTTAATTCTGTCGAAAAGTTTTACATATTCCCGAATTTTTTTCTCGAAAGTGGGTAGTATTTCAAGGGTTTTTGTATTCACCAAAAATGATTGTAATTGTGTCCCGCAACTAAAAATAATTTTTCCGTGAATGATTTGAAATTTTTTAAATTTGTCGCAAAGTTTTACATCTTCCCGATTTTTTTTCTCGAAAGTGGGTGGGATTTCAAGGGTTTTTGTATTCACCAAAAATGATTGTAATTGTGTCCCGCAACCGAAAATAATTTTTCCAGAACGATTTGAAATTTTTTAAATTTGTCGCTAAGTTATACATCTTCCCGATTTTTTTTCTCGAAAGTGGGTGGGATTTCAAGGGTATGTGTATTCACCAAAAATGATTGTAACTGACCCCCTCAACTAAAAATAATTTTTCCGAGAATGATTTGAAATTTTTTAATTTTTTCGAAAAGTTTCAGACCAACTCAGACAGTACTTGCAGGGAGACAGTGCATGCAGCAAGAGCAAAAAATGTTGCCCCCCCCCCAAACAGTATGTACGGGTAGAGAATATAATAAATTACTATTGTATGCAGTGCGTTGGATTAACTTTTTTTATTATTAAATTTCATTATCATCTAGATCTGGTATATTTTGGTTTTCTGTAGAATCGAATGAAATTTCTGCAATTTCTTTTAATAGCTGGTTAAATACATCCTTTCCTTGCTTGGAAAATTTGTAAAATACATAGTGGCTTAAATACCCAATGAAATTATCCTTTTTGCTAAAAATAGAAAATTTTATGGTATTATATGTTACAGAAAATATTAAAAAACGTGCAAAATTACAAATACTAACAGACAATATTCAGGCAAAAAGTGTTTACTATTCCTCCACGTAGTTTCTATCGTATTTGTATGAGCGCCTGTTTCTGGGTCTTTGAAATGTAAGCTGTGATTTACGGTAAGATGTTTGTACCCATCTTTCTCTAAGATGTTATAGGCTTTCCAACAATCTGAAATAATTGTTGTGCCAGGCAACACCCATTGTTTAATTATTGAAAGCAGGGACTCTGTGTCCCTACTTTCAACAGGCACCAGGAATATTTTTCCACTTCCTCTTTCTATTCCTCCAAAAACCCATTGTCCCTCTACACGATGACCTCTGTGATATTTTCTTCGTCCGAACTTAGATTCGTCTATTTCTACTATTTTGCCTGGTCCGCCAAGTACTTCGCATGAATGTTGTAGCCAATCAGCCATAACTTGTTTTACAAAATAATTCCATCGAGAAACAGTATTTTTATTCAATTGTAATTCTCGTACAATCTGATATTGATCAAAATTATGGACTAACATGTAAGTTAATTTTAATACCATTTCATAAGAAAGCTTTGTTTTTGAAAACCACGTTCCACGTTTTACACATATTTTTACATCACAAGTTCGCTTTCGTTTGCAAGCACTAAGAGATGCTGCAATTGTTTTCCTACAACGCCAATTTTCATTGTCTAATTTCATTACGTTTCCACACTGTGGACAATTAACACTAGAAAGACTGAAACTTAGTATATACCTATATTGCCCAAAAGCAGTTAAAATGACTGCATTGTGAAAGACTAACTAATGTGTAAAGAAATTTGTTTAAAATTAATGTTTAATATTATGTTATAATATTATGAATTTAGGGCGCAGAAATAAAATAAACAACTTGTTAGAACAAGTATCACTGCATAAAGATTCGAATAACAAGTACTACTTTAGCTTATTGAGAAACTGCAATTTATCAATAGGTCTGGGTTAGGTCTGGGTTATGTCTGGATTATGTCTGGGTTAGGTCTGGATTAGATCTGGATTAGATCTGGGTTAGGTCTGGGTTAGGTCTGGGTTAGGTCTCATTTACATTGTTGTTGTATTTTGTAATTTCCAAGTGTATGATTTGGTTTGGACTCGAAAAAATGTCGAATGGGACTTGACGAACAATGCTTTTAAGTGTTTTATTTGAAATTTACCTGTTAAAATAAGTGTTTTATTTACACTGTTGTTGTATTTTGTAATATCCAAATGTATGATATCTGTTTGGTTTGGACTCGAAAAAATGTCGAATGGGACTTGACGAACAATGCTTTTAAGTGTTTTATTTGAAATTTACCTGTTAAAATAAGTGTTTTATTTACACTGTTGTTGTATTTTGTAATTTCCAAGTGTATGATATCTGTTTGGTTTGGACTTGAAAGAATGTCGAGTGAGACTTGACGAAGGTGCTCCTGAGATCAAAATTGATGTCGAATCACACTCGACATAGGAGTGCAAAGGGTTAAGATAATTTGGATTATTAACTAACCCAGACCTAACCCAGACCTAAACCAGACCTAACCCAGATCTAATTCAGATCTAATCCAGACCTAACCCAGACCTAACTCAGATCTCACTCAGATCTAATCCAGACCTAACCCAGATCTAGGGTCTATCACAGGGTCTTTCCACACAGTGGACAATTAAGATTTTTGGCAATCAACTTTTTATCTTACAAAAATTTTAATAAAGCTTCTTTATTTTTACAAAATTCGTGCAATTTAAATAAGGTCCACGCTTCTGGAACTACTAATTCGGTCATTTTTATAGCACGGTTGAACAAAATTCACAAAGTACAAGAAACAGAAGAAAATCAGAAATGACAGTTGAAACAAGTGATTACTGAAACAATTTCTGCTTTTCTTCTGTTTCTTGTACTATCTGCAATGTGGAAATGTTATGAAAATTGGCAATGCAGGATAACTATTCCAGGATCTGTCGATCAAACTAAACGTAAAAGACATCGTAATATAAAGATATTTGCAAAGCAAAGAACATGGTTTTCTAAAAACAAACTCAGCTATAGATGTTTTAAAATTAACATATATACTAACATATAATTACGAGCAATGTCATATTATTATATAACTAAAATTAAATAAAAATACTGCTCAGCAATTGGAAGAGTAGAGTAGATTGTCGAGATCGATGAATCAACATTTTGTCATAGAAAATATCACAGAGGTCGCTTGAAAATTAATCACAGCGTCGGTTTTGAAGATCCCATTACCGATGCTTACACGAATTAAATTGAAACCACTCGGAGGCATGCTACACATTTTTTAATCTTTTTTATAACATATAATACTATCGATATTTTATATTTTTAAGAAGAGTAACTTCATCGAATGCCTGAGCCATTATGTATTTAGTAAATGTACCTAATAGAAAAATGGTGATTTATTCAATGAAATATTAGCAGAAATAGTAGAAATTTCATTCGATAAATGTTTAACAAATTAGCATTTGACTACCTAGCATTTTGAACAGAGCAACGACAGTCACTTGTTTCCACCTGTGGACTTGTCAAAATATACTTAACCTTACTTTTTTACTGTAACTTTACGACAAGTTTATAAAAAAATAACGAATTTCCGCAGATAATGAAATGCATATCAATAATGTATTGAATTAGACGAATCGAATATACCTAAAATTTTCTATAAAACATCAATGAATGAGAATGAAAATTTTAAAGTCCTGAATTTATTACCACGTCGGGGTAGACCAAGAAAGTTTGAAAATATTGTATCGACACCACTGTATAAAAATATCAAACAAATTACAACAGCAAAATTCAAGGACATAACTGACCTATTACGATATATACCACCGGAACATCACAATTTCTTCAAATCCCTTTCACACGCACAAAATGTAGACGAGTAGTAAATTGTTTCGTAATAAATTTATGTTTGTTATTTTGTACGTTATGTAGTTAAGAAATGTTTAGAATGGCATAAATTATGTTTCCAAAGTGTTTTAAAGATATGTAAAATAAATTCAGTATTGTTTTTTTTCAATTTGAAGCATCTTAAATTATGTCGAATGGACTTGGCCACGTTCAAATTTTATAATGAATCTGGTTGTTAATTTTGAAAGTGGCCTAACTCCATTCTTGATAAGGAAACGCATATTATTCGCTTAATAATTGCCACTATTTTAATAGGAACTATAAATTTAACACCCTTAGATACACTTAAGCAGTATGACTCGTTAGTATCCTACACGAATACTTTTAAATTCATTGAAACGCAAACCTTTAAATATCTCGATTTGTAGATAAATACTTAGGCCACTTTCAAAATAAACGGCTCATATTCTTTATATTTTCTACACCTATTAGTTCGTTCCTGATTATAGAGGTAAAAGATTATTCGTACCTTTGGCGATGTCTTTGTTTTCGGCTCTTGAATAGCAACTCCATCGATGCTTATGGTCAGCTCTACTTTTGGAGTTTTGGTCCCTTCGCTCTTCCGTAATTGTTGATTGAATTTTAGCTTGCAAATCGCCTCCTTCACCACCTCGATGCCCTTTGGCTGATCCACTTCCGTGCTGCCCAAGTACTGAAACATTTTGCGTATAAATTATATTATAATAACAATTCAAAGTACACATAGTCGACAACTGATAAGAAAAACAAGATGAGGGTATCCGAACGAAGGAAATAAATATTAATTAATTCGTAAGAGGACGCATACAAAGGTTTCAAGCATCGTTCGAACACTATTTCTATAATTTTTACAATTTTATTATTCCCTGAAATTTTTAAACTAATTGAAACATTCAACATGAATTTTGACTTTTTTCATCCCACGATTCGTGTCAAATCAGATCAATTTTCTCAACTTTAAGGTTATACAAAGTATTTCTTCTTCTACATTTATCAACGAAACTTTAATTTTTTAAATCTTAGCTTTAATTCCGTATTTATCACGATTTAAAGAGATTCGTACAAGAATCAGATTTTGTATAAAAAAAACCAAAATGAAAATTCGCTTTTCAAAAAGATCTGTATTTCATTGTTCTGCTCGGTAAATAGTGTCTTTTTATACGTATAGAACTAGATACATATGTATATTTCATAAATATTTATACAAATTTAATTAAATTACAGTATGCATAAAATATTGAAGATCCATACGATAATTCGAGTCTAATTCTTATGCAGAATGATTCTAGAAACTGGGATAAGTTGTCTTTTTCTAAATGAAGACTTTTTTAGTTTACGTAAATCGATTCTTCTCATCTTTCTGCATGAAAAAGTGTTGAGTCATAACCATTGGAAATGCAATGTTTCGCGAGATATTTCGTATTTCATGTTACGATATTACTTTGCCACAGCGGGTGTTCAAATGTCCCGCCATGAACGTTTAAACATTTTATTACGCGCTTTCTAACATTTTTTTATTGTATTCTTTAGTTGTGTAGCGGCAATAAAAGTAGAAATAGTTTTAATTTTATCTCTTATGTTATAAATACACTTTATCTTTGCTGTCTTACTGATTTTGTAAATTATGTACTTTTTCATTATCACAAAAAATAAAAAATTGGGAAAAATATGAAACTTAATGCGCCATAACCTGTTGATTAATTTAATCAATTGTCAGCTAAAAAAACCCTGTTTCATGAAAAATATTTGTTGAAAAAATCATTTAATCGAAAATAATGATTTCATCTATGACTTGGAGATATTTTCATTTGCACCATTTTATTGCCCATAATCATACATTTCTTACATTTAAAATATTTATCTGTTTTTATTAGTTTCCGAGATACTTGAGGAAATGTGTTTTCCAACACCAAAATTCGGAGTGAAAAACAGTTCCTGAATATGAATATCAATATTATTATATTATTTATGAATATAAATAGCTAATATTTTTCAATGCTTTGTCGGTATACTAATTTTTATACAAATTGGAGTATGACACTTGGGTGATGTCTCTCGTCTTACAGATTTTAAATATAATTTCATTAAAAAATTTCAATGGGAGATTCTACAGGCCAAATTAAGACGAAAATAAAGAATAACCATTTCTTGACTAAGGCTTCATTAAAAAGTTATTAAAAAATTCAATTAAAAATATTCAAATCATTCTGGAAAAATTATTTTCGATTGCGGGGGTTAATTGCAATAATTTTCGGTGAATAGACCTACCCCCGAAATCCTACCCACTTTCGAGAAAAAAATTTGGGAAGGTGAGAAATTTTTCGACAAAATCAAAACACATCAAATCGCCCTGAAAAAATTATTTTTATATACAGGCGTCAATTACAATCATTTTGTATGCATAGACATACCTTCAAAATCCTACCCACTTTCGAGAAAAAAATTCTTTACCGAAAATATAATCCGAAATGGTTCCCGAAATTTTATGCGAATTTTTGAAACATCATAACTCCTGAACGAATTGGGCGATTTTACTGTTTCAAAATGCAAACAACGCGTATTTTGGGGAGGAACACGTGGAAATTCCAAAAATATTCGAAAAATTGTGCCTTCACCGCGTAAAATGAGAAACACCCCATAAAAATCGTCCAATATTCAAACAGCCATAACTCCTACAATGGTAAAGGTATCTCATTTAAATTTTTTTCTTAATCAGAGCCCATGGATATCTACAATAAAGTATTAGACAACTTTTCTGCAGAGCGTCAAACAAATTTATTAAAAATGAAAAACAAATTTTTAACATAAACCGACAAAGGGGGCTACGTGCTTAAATTTTTCGCGAGCAAAAAAAAATTTCAAATCGTTTTGAAAAAATAAGGTTTAGTTGCGGGGGTCAATTGCAATCATTTTTGGCCAATACACGTACCCCCAAAATCCTACGCACTTTCGAGAAAAAAATTTGGGAAGATATAAAACTTTTCGACAAAATTTAAAAATTTCAAATCGTTCTGGAAAAATTATTTTCGGTTGTGGGACACAATTACAACCATGTTTGGTGAATACACATACCCTTGAAATCCTACCCACTTTCGAGAAAAAAATTCGGGAATATATAAAACTTTTCGACAAAATTAAAAAATTTCAAATCATTCACGGAAAAATTATTTTTAGTTGAGGGGGTCAATTACAATCATTTTGTATGAATAGACACACCCCCGAAATTTTACGCATTTTCGAGAAAAAAATTCGGAAAGATGTAAAACTTTTCGAAAAAATTGAAAAATTTCAAATCGTTCTGGAAAAATTATTTTCGGTTGCGGGGGTCAATTGCAATAATTTTCGGTGAATAGACCTACCCCCGAAATCCTACCTACTTTTTAGAAAAAAATTCAGTAATGGCGGAACTTTAAACGTTAATAACTTTTTAACGAAGCCTCGATCAACAAATTTGATATTCTTGATTTCCGTGTTATTTTGGCCTCTAGAATCTCCCATTAAAATTTTTCCCAGGATGGCTGAACATCCTGTATAATATCTCGTAGACTTTGAGATTTTATTTAGTGAAACAGACAAATGTAATACAACTATGAAGATTTCATGCGTTCTAAATTATTTTACCGTAGAATACAGTTCAGAAAACATATTAAGTATCATTACGATCAACATTACTAGCTTTTGTTACAAACTTTCTAAAATCAGTAAACGAATAAAATAAAAATGATTAAATAAATATTTGTTTATATGTATACAAAAATAGCAAAGCCTTTATTCATATAATTAGAACTGTTATGTGTATTTATTGTTATTAACAATTTTCTTATTTTCGTCTAATCATTATCGTCATTTTACTTTCATTACTCATTTTGAAACTATTAGTGCCTTGTATCATTATTATGTTTTAAAATTCATCTTTTCAAACCTAGTCAGGTATTTGATTATACAAGTAGCTTGAATATTTGATCAAGTTTGCGTAACAATAATGTAACAAGTTAAAAACTTATATGTTAATTATAAGAATTATACTTGTATTACGTATAAAGGTTTTTACACAAAACCGTCTTATTCTAAATTAAAACTTGACAATTTTAAATCGTTCTTTAACTTTTACTAATTTACCAGAAAACTTTCACTAATATCAAACCACCCGAAGTTATTTAAATGAATAGATATTTTTTGTTTTAATTTCTAGAATTATCATGATTAATCTTAACTTTATGTAAGCTTACCCAAATCTCATCGGCTTTATTATTAAAATATAATACTACAATTAAGTAAGAATACTTAAGTTTTTTCAAGTATTGAAATGGTCACCGATGCTTGCAGTCTTTTCTCAAATACTTGAACAGTACTATTTGGAATGCTATACAATCAAAAGTACACCGTCAAACTATTGAACATTCTTATTTTTTACATTAAAATTTATGAAAATGTCGAGGACGTTCCTCAACTTGAGAAACAGACATGGCAGTCAACGTGTTAAACAAGCCAACACAAATCTAGGATAACGATGTTGAGGAATTCATATTCGCGCGGCAACAAGCACGCAACCAAGTGGCGCCACCTTTTTTCTTCTTCACCACTTTTTCGCACGTGGCGTTCTGTAGCCACAAAGAATATGATATCAGTTCGTGTAGTTACTGCGTGAACACTTCTACGTTCCTAGAAGGAGCATATTCTTTATATTTTCTACAAACGATTGGCATAAATTGCGTCTCTCTGTTTCATTGTCGATCCCACCTTTTTCCTTTCATTCGTCGGCACATGATCATGAACTATTGCTCCATAATAATTACACGAACAGCGAAGAGACGATGCGTGTCATGGCACCGAGATCAATGGTCAAGGCAGACACTAACGTCCATCGGATGAACGCGATACATGCAATTAGTATTTTGATACATTGATCGATTCAACCGTCCTATCTTTGGTATTTATAGCCATGTCACAGAATGCAGTTCAGTTTTCTAAATTTAGTTCGAATCGCGATAAACGAATCGCTAACCTTGTAGCGTGAAGGTTTTCAAATTTTTTCGAACGCATTCTTCTTATCCGAGAAAAAGAAAATTTTCTGCGACCAAAGTAAGCGATTTAAAATGATGCAAGAAAGGTATACTTATAAAGAATAAATAAACAGTTGGAACATGCGCAACGAGGTTGAATAAAGAAAACCTGATCTTTTAATGTTTCTTTGATTAAGTACATATCTGTATGAAAAAACGTGGTCAAATTATATTTTTTTTTACACAAGTGACTCGAACATTACATATAGTATTGTTCTGCTTACTTTGGCTTCTTGGATTGTTAATATCTAGTATTAAAAAAAAAACTGTGTCATCACTGTTCTAAAAGATACAGGATGTTCGGCCATCCCTGGGAAAAATTTTAATGGGAGATTCTAGAGGCCAAAATAAGACGAAAATCAAGAATATCAATTTGTTGATGAAGGCTTCGTTAAAAAGTTATTAACGTTTAAAGTTCCGCCATTACTGAATTTTTTTCTAAAAAGTGGGTAGGATTTCGGGGGTAGGTCTATTCACCGAAAATTATTGTAATTAACCCCCGTAATCGAAAACAATTTTTCCAGAAGGTTTTGAAATTTTTCAATTTTTTTCGAAAAGTTTTACATCTTCCCGAATTTTTTTCTAAAAAGGGGGTAGGATTTCGGGGGTA